CAATAATACATTTAGCTGGAGATACAACCATTTCACATTAAGTCCCTCAAATACTTCCATTTTCACCCAAACTTTCATATCCATCAACTTATATCCCTACATCCTCCCCATTCTAATCGTGGCCCCTGTTAGGACTTAAACAACAGATTTTCTTGTAACTTATACTTCTGTGCCAAAGAGTCCCATAAATGTTTCTTCTCTATCTCTTGGCCATTTTACCCACACATGTTCCTATGGTCTTGGGTTCCCAGCAGATGTAGAGCCTGGGTGGAGACCAGGATAAACCATGTCCATACTGAGAATGAATGAATGAATGGAGGAGAATTCTTCCTTAAGGTCTATTTCCAATTGACCAATAGTGTAGAAAGAATGATAGAGCTAGAAAAATATCCATTTTGTAACCATTGTAGTAATAATTGAGCCAGGCAAGGATTGGTTGATGGATGTCCAGTGAAACTTAGGGGAAAAAAAGACACATAGCCTCAAGATAGGTACCCACAGATTACTCATGAATTACATAGAGAAAATTGGTAACTTTACAATGGAGAAATCTCACAGACACTACCTTCATGAAATGAACAGAAAAAAAAATTAATTTGAAAATTACTTATACTCTTAGCTTCTAGAGATAATCAGTCTTAACAGTTAGGAACTATCCTCCAGGAATGGACTGTCTATGACAATCCAGTTGTTCCAGAGCAATTTGTTCAGAACAGTGTCCTTTCTCCACTGAATATCCTTTACAACTTTGTCAGAAATTAATTGACCATGTATGTGTGGTTCTATTTCTAGACTCTATTTTGTCTCGTGTCAAAATACCACACTGTCTTTAGAACTATAGGCTTATAAGTCTTGAAATGAGGTGGTGGAGGTTTCTGACTTTTTTCTTTTTTCAAAATTGCTTTGGCTGTTTTAGGTCCCTTTTGTTTTCATGTGATTTTAGAGTCAGCTTGTTAATTTTGAATTCTTAAATTTCTTGTTTTTTTTTAATCGTGTCCTTTGTAATATTTCTATTTTGAGGAACCTACTGAGATTGCTTTCTTTCTTCCCTAATATATGATATTTTTTGTGCATGCACTACGTGGGCTTGAGAAAAGGTATATTCTGTTTGCTCAGAGTGTAGTGTTCACTATACATTTATCTAAAAGTTCCACCTCACTGATTATGTTGTTCAGGCTTTTATATCATTGGCTTTTTTTGTTCACTTAAATCTTTGTCATTTTGTGAGTGGTATGTTAAAATTCTTCCTTTAGAGAATTTTTCTCTTCTTCTTCCATCCCTGTAGTGTTTGGTTTATATAGGCTTTAGCTTTGTTACTTTTTGCATAGATATTCACAAACACCTTATTATTAAATCTTCTACTTGGACAGGGCTTTTCATATTACAAAGTATCCTACTTTGTTCCATGTAATTGCTTTTGGAATTCTGCTTTATGTTGTATCAGGATTTCAATGCCTCCTTAAAATTTTTTTCAATTGGTAAATCTTTGTGCATCTCTTTCATTTTAGCTTTTTGAATGACTGTGTGTTAACCATGTCTCTTGTGTGCAGCCTTGTGTCGGGTTGACTTTATAGGGCAATATGGAAACCTTTTTCTTAAAATAGGTGAGATAAGCCCATTCACATTTCCTTGTATTACTGTTATGTTTGGTCTCAATTCTTTAATTTTGGCTTATGTGATAGTTACTGTGTATATATGTTACAATTACTGTGCTTCCTCTACTGGGTGTTTTTTCTAAGCTTTTTTTCATAATTAGGAAGATTGATGGTGCTTACATTTATGTTAATACTTTTGTGTTAGTACTTTTTTATAGGACATAGTAAGTCAACCCTTTTTTGCTTTCTTTTTATTTATTTATAAAAATTGTGTATTTAAGGTGTACAGCATGATGATTTGATATACATATGCATAGTGAAGTGATTATGATAGCCAAGCCAAGTAACATATCATCTCTTTGCAGTTACCATTATTTTGGTTATAGTGCACCTGAAATCTACTCTTTGAACCCATTTCTATTGTTCAATATAATATTATCAAGTACATACCTGTACATTAGACTTCTGGACTTATCCATTACCATGACTTTGTACCCTTTGACCAACATCTCTCCATTTCTCCCTGCCTTCTAGTCTCTGCCTCTCCTTTTTTTTTCCTTTTAGATACTACATATGTGCCATTATACAATATTTGTCTTTCTTGGTCTAGCTTGTTTCACTTGATATAATGTCCTCCAGGTTTATCCATGCTGTCACAAATGGTGAGTTATCCTTCTCTCTTATAGCTGAGTAACATTCCATTACACACACACACACACACACACACACACACACACACACACACACCCCTTCTTTTTTAATCTATTCATCCATTGATGGACACAGGTTGTTTCCATAGCTTGGCTGTTGTGAACATGGGGGTGCAGATAACTCTTGATACTGATCTTGTTTCCTTAGGATACACACCCAGTAGTGGATCACCAAATCACATGGTGATTCTGATTCTTTTGAGGAATCTCTATCTGCTTTTCATGATTTTCCCACTTTACCATTTTTCTTTATTAATCTTTTGTCATCTAATTTGTCACCTATGTCTTCCATTTTTTGTTTCATTTTTCTACTTTGTCAGAATACTTGATGTTTATACATGGGTTCAGCCTTGTTTTGGTTTTAGTTTTACAATCAAATATGTGGAATGCTTCGTGTCAGTCTTTTTGCCCAAATCTTCCTAGTCATTGTTTGTGGTTGCATGAAGCTCAGCGTGTACTATCGCAATGTCTAATAGAACCTCTGCTATGATGGGATGTTCTATCTAGCCATCCAGTATTGAAATTAGCCACATGTTGCAAGTGAGCACTGGAAATGTGCCTAGACTGGGGAACTGAATTTTTAATTTTATTCCATTTTAATTAATCAAAATTTTAATTTTTAAAAACCACACATGGCTCCCAGGGACAGCACAACCTAATTCCTTAGAAAAGGCCAAGTGTTCTGGCACATTCCAAACTCAAAAATCAAAAAGTAAAATTTTCTAAAAGCCTTGATACTTGATGTAGTTTACTGGATATACTTTCCTTTGCATACTATCTTTCCTTAAGTTTCTTTTAATGTAGTTCTACTATGTCTTGCTTTGTAGGTTGTTTATAAGGAGTTGATGCCAATCAAAATCTCTTTGTAGGTTATCTAGTCTTTTTTATCCCAGGAGGCCTTGGGACTGTTTTTCTTTGTATTTATATTCTAATATTTTTTATTAGGATATATCTCAAGAGTTTTTTGTTCCAAGTCAGTTTTCCTTGGTACCAGTGCACCACTTAATTGTGTAAAGGTTTGTTTTTATGATCCAGTATATGAGCTAGTGTGGTGAATATTCCATGCATACTGGAAGAAACATAACTGTGCTTTCTGAGTGGAATGTCCTGCCAAGTCAGTTGGTTGATTGGTGGTGTTCAGTTTTTCCATATCCTTGCTGATCTTCTGTCTACCCGTTCCCATTATTACTGAGGTTTTGAAATCTCCAGCCATAATTGTGCATTTACCCATTTCTCCTCTCAGTTTTGCTTCACATACCTTGAAGCTGTATTGTTAGCGTGGACTCCCCTATACTCCTGCCCCAGAGCGTCCCCTTTTTAGACAGTTGGGACTTTAGTCTCTCCAGTCTGGCACTCACTTTCTGCAACTAGGTTTGCCCTTGCAGCCAAGTGGTGTGAGGTTAGAAGGAAGCAATGCAGATCCTTCTCACACTCTTCAGACCACTGTTCCTATGGCCAAAAAAAAAAAAAAAATTCTTCTCCCTTAGAATTTTAGGGACCTGCTACTTCAAAGTTCCAGCTTTGGCACTGGGATGGACTTTGTGGCAGGGCTTGATGAAAAAGAGAAAAGAGGATTTTTCCTTTATTTTTTTTCTGTCTCTCAGGGACCTATCTTCAGTCTTCATGTCATATCGGTGTCCCTGCGGACTGTGTGCTTGGTGCTTCTCTCTGTACTTGGTGCCTCTTTCAAGCTCTGTGTTTTCTCTTAGCCATTCAGTTTATTCTGGTGGCTTCACCTAGTACCAAAACATCATTGCCTCCCAATCCTTGGCCTAAAAGCCTTCTCTTCTGAGCTTCAGAAACATATATATCTTCCAGCTGGATATCTATCAGAATGTGCTGTAAACACCCCAGCTCAGGTCCAGTATCTGTCTCAGTTTTCCCTTCTGCCAACCCACTGTCTCTCCTATTTGCTAATCTCAACATATGATGCCGGCCTCTGCCCACCAGCTTATGCAGCTACGCCTTTCTCCCACCTGACAGTACTTCTGTGTAACTAACAAATATAAACATATTGCGGGATGGTCAGACAACACTCTGGTGGAGGACAACTGATGATCTATAGAAAAAAAGTTTGAAATCCCTTCATGTCTGGTTCCTAAGTGCCTATATAGACCTTTATGTCATCAAAGCCTGGAGCACCGTTTTCCTGTCATACTGTGCTATGTATGTAGTTCCATTATTTGCCATGTGTGTTTTATCTCTTTCTGCCTTATGCTACTATCTCATATTCAAGAGGGAGGTGATACTCTTGTTTAAAGATGCAAAGCTCTACCATAACAAGTGAAGTGTCTGTTAACACAAAGTGGAATCCTGTTTTATCCCTCGCGCAAGCCCATTGCACCTATACACATGTCCAACATAGCTCTTAATGCCATTCATATCCAAAGTATCTTTACCAGGCATGAGCTCCTGGAGAGCAGGACCCTTGTCCTAGTCCTTTTCATTTCCCTAGCAATTGAGACATCTGGGCACACCGTAACTTAGTAGTCTTCTTGGTGAATTGAGAAGTTAATAGTAGCAGAACTTTTCTGTTTTTTTTTTTCCCCTCCAAAAAGTAAATGAAGTAAGCCACTGAGTCAGGTGTCCAATTAGCATTTTCTAGCCAACTCTCAATAGTGCTCTGTTGAGAAGATTAGTTCCCACACACGTTTTCCATGTGTTCCATTCTGATGGTTGTAGATTTTTGTTACAGGAATCTGTGTCCTTCGAGGATGTGGCTGTGGATTTTACCCGACAGGAGTGGCACATACTGGACCCTGCTCAGAGGACCATGTACAAGGATGTGATGCTGGAGAACTATCGCAACCTGGCATCTGTGGGTAAGGACTTTTGTCCATATAACTCCTGGTAGCCTGTGGTTCCTTTCTTGGTTGTTGTAACCTATGAAGCCTCTGCAGAGTTGAGTGACATTTTAGTTTTAGATTCAAGGGTCACAGATGATTAATCAGCTCGGGGTACCAGGAAGTGTGTGTGTTCTTACGTCCCCTATTGAAAGGTTTAAACGGGCCCCCTTCCTTGTGCAGCTCAGGAAGATGCACCTTCTCTACCAGAGGCCCTAAAGCTCAGACACCTTGGCCCACATCCTATGCCATTTCCCATTAACAGGCCTCTGCGTGGCCAAACCAGAAATGATCTTCAAGCTGGAGCAAGGAGAAGAGCTGTGGATATTAGAGGAGCAATCTTTAGGCCATGGATACCCGGGTAAGTAAGCCTGAGCTAGACACAGCAGAAGAGAGGGGGAAATAAGAGCTCAGGAATTTGGGTCAAAGGTTGTCTTTGGGCATTGTTTTCCAGGAACCACTTTTTAGAGGCCCTGCATCTTTGAAAATGACTGGAGGACAGAAGGTTTCAGATAACAAAATTACATATCCCAGTAGAATGCTCATACTTATGTGCTTCTCCCCAACTTTATCTTGATTTTTGTAGAGTTTTTACCACTCTACTCTCCCAGTCTGTGTCATCTGAGATATTTATTCCTAGCTGGTCACTCTTTAGTATTCTCAGTTGCCCTGGATCTCAGTCACCCCGGATGCTGTCTGTTGCCAGCCGTTCATTTATACATTCATTTAGTCATCCCTTGAATCTTAAATCGGTTTCTACTATAGACTGACCATGTTCTAGGTGTGAGGATCCACACCTAGAATAATGTCTCTGTTTGCATGGAGCTTGCAGTCTAATGAGGAACATAGACCAGTAACAAGCTAATAGGCAATGTTTGATGATGAAAAGAAAATCAGTGCAAGGCAACAGACAATGACTAGGTGTGTGCTTTTATGGAATGTTGTCAGGGAAGCTTTTAAATAAAGTTAACATTAGTGCACTAACATCAGTGAAGTGAGGGAAATGGAGCCATGTAGATTTTGAGTCTTCTGGGCAGAGAAAACAGTAGGTAGCAAGCCTCATCTCTGATATATCCTAGGGATAGCAAAGACCAGTGTGGCTTAAGAGGGTTGGGAGTGAGAATGTTAAGAAGTGATATCAGAGAGTTTTCAGGGGACCAAATCATGGAGTTTTATAGGCTGTGTTAAACACTTTAGTTTTGTACTGTGACAAGATAAGTCGTTGTTGGTTTTGAGTGAAAGTCACATGATCTGATTTGTTTTTAAAGCATCTCTCTCACTGCTATGTGGCAACGGTTCTGTTGGGAGTAATACCCTCAGGCATAATAACAGCCACCTTCAGCACCAGCGAATTCAAACTTTGGATCAAACTGTTGAATACAATGGATATGAGAAAGCCTTCTATAGGAAAACAAGCTTTGGTGGACATAAAAGAGCACGCACAGGAGAGAGAAACTTTGAATGCCATGAATGTGGGAAAACTTATTGCAGGAAATCAAACCTTATTGAACATCTGAGAATACACACAGGAGAGAGACCCTATGAATGTGGTGACTGTGCAAAAACCTTTAGTGCAAGGTCATACCTCATTGCTCATCAGAAAACTCACACAGGGAAGAAGCCCTTTGAGTGCAATGAATGTGGAAAACCCTTTGGCAGGAAGTCCCAACTCATTCTCCATCGGAGAACACACACAGGAGAGAGGCCCTATGAATGTACTGAATGTGGAAAGAGCTTTTCCGAGAAGGCCACCCTCATGATCCATCAGAGAACTCACACAGGGGAGAAACCTTACAATTGTGGTGAATGCGGGAAAACATTCCGAGTAAAGATATCCCTCACACAACACAAGAGGACTCACACAGGGGAGAAACCCTATATCTGTGGTGACTGTGGGAAAAACTTCCGTGCAAAGAAATCCCTAAATCAACATCAAAGAATTCATACAGGCGAGAAACCCTACAAATGTGGTCAGTGTGGGAAATTCTTCAGAATGAAGATGACTCTCAATAATCATCAGAGAACTCACACAGGTGAAAAACCCTATCAGTGTAATGAATGTGGCAAATCTTTCAGAGTGCACTCATCTCTCTGGATACATCAGCGAATTCACACAGGAGAGAAACCTTATGAGTGTAATGAATGTGGCAATGCCTTCTATGTTAAAGCACGCCTCATTGAACATCAGAGAATGCATTCGGGAGAGAAACCCTATGAATGTAACGAATGTGGAAAAATCTTCAGTATGAAGAAATCCCTTTGTCAACACCAGAGAACTCATGTAGGAGAGAAACCATATGAATGTAGTGACTGTGGACATGCCTTCTACGTGAAAGTACGCCTGATTGAACATCAGCGAATTCACGCAGGAGAGAGACCCTTTGAATGTCAAGAGTGTGGGAAAGCCTTTTGCCGAAAGGCACACCTCACGGAGCACAAGCGGACTCACATAGGCAGGCCCTTGCATTGTACTGTGGAGAAAACAGCTCCGTGAAAGTCTCCCCACACCTTTGGACCTTGGATCAAGCCCTTTGGACCTTCTCATCACCAGGCCATGCGGAGTGCACCTGTATTAATTCGGTTCCTATACTGGTTTAATAATATATCCTGATCCTTTTAGGGGATGGGTAGCTCATTGTTCTCATTTCATTTGGTTTTCCCCCATTAGGGGTGAGGTTGAACATATTCTTACTGTTCATTGGTCACTTGGGGTTTTTATGTGCATTGACTATATCCTTTGCTCATGTTTTCCAATGGGCTGCTTATCTTTTCCTTCTTGGTTTAAATGTTTTCTGCTCTTGTTGTTTTTAATATATAAGAATATAAAGATCCTTTTTTTAGTCGTGTGTTGCAAAGGTCTTCTCCCGGACTCTGGCTGGTTAATTTAATTTTGTTCCTTTTTTATGTCGACACTTTATGTTTTAATATTATCAGTTTCAAGGTGTTAATATTTTCCTATACGTTCCTATAAAGTTAAGGTTTTCCTTTCACCAATTAGAATATTAATCTATCCTGAATTTGGTTTATTTTTGTGTGTAGGATGAAATTTGTGATAGAGAATACTACATTGTTTTTTAAAAATGTTACATAAATGGTATCACACATTATTTAAACTTCTGCAGCTTTCTTTTTTTTCATGGAATGTTACATTTCCAAGATCTAGCCATGTGGATAAATATAGATCTGGTTTATTCATTTTGTCTCTCCATCCTCCTAGGGAGAGACATCTGTATCATCTCTGTGTGTAGTGTCTTAATCTACAAGTGGAACTGATGGGGCGCAAAAGGTGTAGGCTCTGTGCCAATTATTCAGCTATTGTGTCCCAGACCCAAACTTTTGTACTGTGTTTTGTGATGTTGGGGCTGTGACTCTGCAGAATGTGTTTCTGTCTTGCCAGCTGCTCCCTGTTGGTTCTTGCCAAGAACAGACATTAATATAAATTTGGAAGCTGGGAAAGGAAGAAGGAACTTGTTTCTTTTTTTTCTTCCTGTTAGTTCCCTGTCCATGGAATGTCAGCTCAACATTGTTTCTTCTCTCTGTAGCACTAGTTCCTCCCTGCAGCAACAATTTCATTCAATCAATAGTTTTCTATACTCTCCAAACAGCCTGATGGTACCACCCTCTCAGAGACACTGGCAGCAGCTAGCTGGTGCCACCTCCTTAAGGGATGAGTCCTGGTCACATGTGATGACCCCTCCAACCTTCTTACTTTTAATCATTCCAATTTCTTCCCTTTGTTATTCTAACCATACTGCTCTCTGCAGTTTCTGCCTCTATAATTTCAATATGCTCTTTTTTTTTTCTTTTCAGTTACATAGTCAATTACTTCATAAGTCATTAAAAATGCCTTACAGTAAGTTTCTCTGTTAAAATAACTGGTATGATTTCTGTTTCCTAGCTGGATTCTGATTGATACAGAAGCTTCATAGGTTTATTAAATATTGATATTTCCCTTCTAAGTCTTAATTATTTACTCTCATTAGTAGTTTGAGAAAATGTTTTTCTGCATTCCACTCAGGATCATTTTCTTTCTTTTTTTTTAAGATTTATTTTTATTTATTTATACAATCACTGGGCACAGTCAGAAGCGCGGGAGGGTGAGAGAATTCACCAGAGCCAGAGTGGGGAGCAGAGCAGGCAGAAGGACCGAAGTACACTGCTGAGGGGAGCAGCGGGTGGCAGGAAAGGTCTGCGCGCCATGTGGGACCCTCCTCCGGTGGCCGGGGAGCAGCCGGGGATCGAACTGGCGCTGTAGAGGCTGCGGCAGCTTCGCAACCCAGCGCTCAACTGCTGCGCCACCGGGGAGGCCCTGGGATCATTTTCTTCTTTGCTTGAAATATACCCTTTAGTAGAGGTCTGGTAGTGGCAAACCTTTCACCTTTGCAAATGTTTCATTTGCATCTTTTTTTTTTTTGAAATGAAAAAATTAAATTTTTTTATATAATTTTTTAAATTTTTATATTCCCCATACAATTGCGACCCCCTTATTTTGACCCCAATCCTCCCCTCCCTGCCCCCCACCTCCCATAGAGTGTCTCTGGTTCATAGTTGTTTGTTGATTTTGATTTTTACTTTCTTATAGTTATTCTTTTCCCTGGTCCCTTATTTAAGTTTTCTAGATGCCTGCTATATGGTACATATATACCATGGAATATTACTCAGCATTCAAAAAAGATAAACACATGCAATTTGCAGCAACATGGATGGTGCTGGAAGGGATCATGCTCAGCGAAATAAGCCAGAAAGAAAAAGAAAAATACCAGATGGTCTCACTCATAGCAGGAATCATTTGCGTGTTTTTTGATAAGCAAAAGTGTAGCTTTGCCTTTAGTGTTTGGCAGCAGTACGTCAATTGATGCGCAATTAAATACCATTTTGCCTTTTTTCTCCTGAATGTTCCATAATGATTATGACAAAGGGTTTTTGAATTATCAGATCCCCCCCAATACAACATATACTTGAATATACACCTTATGTTTTCTGCATTTTGTGTACAGCATGCTCTCACCCTCATTTACTAAGTGTAAATTAAATGGATCAAGATGCCATCTCCCCAATTCTTCCAGTCTTCTCTCCTGATCCTCTTGCAGTCACCACCACAGTAGTTTTTACCCTCCTGGACTTGTCAGCACAGTGTTTATTAACAGCACTTCTTATCATTCCCTTCAGTCCAGAAAAGAATTTCTGCTGACCTACCATTAGCTCACAACATCTTGTCTTACAGCGTTTTGCTCGAGTCATCTGTTCACCCCCATCAACTCATAACATCATTCTTCACCACCCTTTTTAGCTGCCATTACAATGTTTGCTTCCCCTTTTAGCTCACAGCATAGTATCTTTTGACTCTTGAGCCTCCAGCTGAGTGACCGATGGTCCACCACTAACTCAGTGCTATGTCTTTTTGCCCTCCTTAGACTCAGCACGTGACAGCTGACCTCCCATTAGCATTCAGCGTTGTGTTTTATCACCTTCCTAGCGTGTCTCTTGATTCCATGTTGATCCCCCCTTGGCTACCATATATTTAATCCCGTGAGTTCTCATTGCAGTGTCTGCCCATCCTACATCAGATTCTATTGCTCTGTGTACTGATTTTTATTATTAGCTCCTGTTACAGTATCTTTGACCCCCACAAACACTTAGCACAGCACAGTTGTATCACTATTAATCTGCTGTTCCCCAATTGACCACCAATATGGTGACTTTAATCCTGAGTCCTCTGCTTGGTCCTCTGGTGACCTGAGCCCCAGCAGTGTCTGCAGTACTCACATCATCTTGTCACTCTCTTTTGATCCCTCATTTACCGAGTTTTGAGTTTTTTAACCTGATACCTGGCAATGTTTGTTTTCTTTAAAATAGTTCCCATCACTGTGTGTTCTGACCTTACTGAAGACCTATGAGTGTATCTGCTGACCATGCTTCAGTGTCTTCTGATTTATTAGCCACCAGTACAAAGTATGTTCTCCTGTAAGACCCCATCACTGGGTCTGCAGAGTCCCCCTTCCTTAACCACTCGTATTGTCTCTTTGACACATTGAGACGCGAGTATAGAGACTGTTGACCCTACATTAGCTCCCATCAGTGTTTTTGATCCTCCATTAGCCAACAGCACAGCTTATTCTGTACCCATGAAGCCCAACAATGTATTTGCTGGCCCTTCCTTAGCTCCCATCACTCTCTCTGCTGATCCACAGTTGGCCAAAGAGCAGATGAACCTCCATGAGCTTCCAGCACAGTATCTGCTGATCCCACACTAGCCTCACCTTGATGACCACCCCTTAGCCATGAGTAGTGTCCTCGATCCTCAGAAGTGCCAGTCACAGTATTTACTGACCATGTATTAACCTTCATCATTGTGGTGTTGAGCTCCTTTTAGCCTCTAGCACAGCATGTGAACACAGTGGTGCCTCAGCAGAGTGCATGCTGACCATGCAGTGGAACCCATCACTATGTGTGCTGACCCCGTATTAGTCTCAACACTGATTGCTGACTACCAGCTACTAGGTTTGTGTTTGCCTCACATTTCTCCATTACAGTATCTGCTGCTGACCCTATATTAATTAATGTCTGCTGATCTTGCCCATCAGTCTGGTGTCTTTGCTCTTCATAAGATAGCATCCCAGTGTTTGCTGATCTCACATTAATCTGCTGCTGATGAGCCATCAGCCCCCACTAAAGCGATTTTGTCTCCCTCACACTAGAAGCCCATTCACTACCCCTTCCCTGTGGCTGCTGCCCCATCATCATGCCCGAGTACAGTGTTTGGACCTCATAGGTCCGGCATGGTGCCTGAAACTCGGTGCCGACCCTACATCAGAGCCCTTCGTGCTTTCGAGTGATCCTGTAGTAGACACCATTGCAGTGTTTGGACCCCCATAAGTTCTCGGCTATGTCTGCTAACACTGTATTAGCTTCCATGGCTGTGTCTGTTGAATTCCCACTAGCCATCAGTATAGTGGCTTTGATTTCTGTTGTCAGTGTAGATACACTGTACTAAGGGGCCAGCATCCCCAGGAATGTGGTGAATGCCTTCTGTGATCACGGCCCACAATTTCCGTTGGCCCTATTTTCGGTACAGTCATCATTCCCTAATAGCTCCTGCTGCTTTGTTGGCTGTTTGTTTAGTCCCTGCGTTTGTTTCTTAGACTCTGTTGGTTATGTTATTATTCTAGGCACTCCAGGGACTGTTCCTTGGGCTTTTTGGCTATGGCCTCAGACTCTACCCCTTATTCCTCTGGCTGGTTTGTGTTCCTTCTGATTGTCTTCCAAATTCAAGGACTTTTGTTTCTACAGGGGTTTCATGATCGTGATCCTGTGGTTTCTTGGGTCCAGAAACTGTCCCCTTGTGCCTCCAGCTATTTCCTTGGCTGTTCCCTCAGCCTGAGATTATTCCCTAATCTCTCTGACTGTGTTCCAGTTGTTTCTGGCTGTTGTTTGACATTTAGAGATGGTTTCCTTTTTTAGTTAGCTGTTCTAGAGTTTTCCTCTGGTCTCTGACTATTCCACATCTCTGCAGTGACTGGCTTGGTCCCTTGGGCTGTTTTCCAGTGTCCCAAGATATTTCCTCAGCCCTGGCGTATTGTCTGGGAGCACAGGTTTGTTCCTGCTGCTTTTGGCTGTTTCCTAATACCTGGAAATGATTGTCTTCCCTTCCTAGTTGTTACCTAAATCCTGAGTATGTTCAGGCTTCATACTTCTTATTTTCTGGTTTCTCCAGCTGTTTCTCAACGCAGAGGACTGTGGTATATACTGGCTGTGGCTGGGCACATTAAATAACAAGCAGGAGTTGTAAGCTGCAGAGGTCAATCCCTTTAGCTTTGCTGCCAGAGGGAAGCAGACCCTACAGAGAGGCTGTGTGCTTCACAAGCATGGCATGGCTCTGGCAGAGCACCTGTAGTCCTGGAGTCACTAAATTTCCTCCCATCTTCCCTTCTATAAAATCCATTAAAGTGACCAACCCTACCCTGCCCTTTTCCCAGAGTTCTACGAGTCAGTGTGAGAATCTTTGCTTGGAAGAGAACATGTGGGGGTGAGGTGTGCGGCATGGGTTCAGGGTTCAACTCAAATGGTCACCTGGGGGCCAGCCCTTCCCTCACCCGAACCTCAAACTTTCTCCCTAAAAGGTGAACCTCACTGTCCCTACCCAGAATGTTTCAGAGGTCTGTGCTAGGGTTGGAGGGTGCTGGATGGGTGTGCTCACCCCTGGGGTATTTTTTCCATGTCAAAACACATGTAATTCTCAGAGAAATAACTTCATGTGCAGTATTTCTAACAGTGATTTAATTTCTAGACATGCAGTGAAGTATAATGATGAAGAACATAAACTTGGAGCCAGATTTGCATTCAAATCCTCCCTATAGTGGTTTCTTAGCTATGATACAAAAAGCACACATTATAGAACAAAGCGGATATATTTACACAATGAACTATTACTCAGCAATCAAAAAAATGAACTCATGTCATTCTCACTAACATGGATGGACCCGGAAAGGATTATGCTCAGGGAAATAAGTGAGAAGGAAAAAGAAAAATATCAGATGGTTTTACTAATAGGAGGAATGTAGGGGAACCAAATAAGGGATCAGGAAAAAAACTAATTATAATAAAAAACAAAATTAACAGGCAACTATAAATCAGAGACATTATGCCGGGGAGGGGGAGGGGGAGGGAGAAGGATTGAAACAGGGGAGGGAAGAGCACAAGGGACTATGGTGTTCGTGCAGGGGGCGGGGAGGGGGATTGGTGGTGGGAATTTTACAGGGACTACATCTGAGAGGAGAAAGCATACATTATACAAAAAGGAAGAATGATGTGCGCTCGCTCTCTCTCTCTCTCTCTCTCTCTCTATATATATATATATATATATATAAAATAAATAAAATAAAAATTTTTTAAAAGTGAAGATAAGTTGGACTTCACCAAAACTATAAACTTTTGTACTGAAAATGATACTATCAAGAAATTAAA